ACTATTTTTATTTAGAGCAGAAACTACTCTGTGCATTCAGAACAGTGAGGGGAATCCTGAATCTGTCTGACATTGAAGCTGTAACTAATGGCTGTGAGAGGTTTTGGAAGTTTTTCCATGTTAAGATTGCTCACATTAGATCAATTTTTTTCCCTTTCCTTTCCTGATACTTCGTTAAGCAGTCCAATGGTCAGGAACACTCTTGAGGGACGGTTATGGTTTCTGTTGCTAGACTAGGTGAAATTGTAAATCATATGAAACCCTCAGTTAGTTTTGTGGTCTAATTTCTGCTTTTTTCTGCTTAACCATTTTGCTCTTAGTCTCAAGTAGAGCTTCCACAGATTGATTTATTTAATTATTTTTGTATTGTTGCATTGTTAACTTACGTTGTGTACTATGCTTGCAGGTGCAAAGCACTTTCAGATAATACACTTGCATTTATATAATGCCTTTCTAGTCTTATTGATGATTCAAAACACTTTCAACTACACATTTATGCAGGACTTTATTCTATAAACTTCAACTACCTTACATCCATGATCTGTTTAGAATCACCAGTGCACGAACATGCATGTCTTCAGAGTAAGGGAAGAAGCTGGAGTACCCAAAGAAAAATATGTGAACTCCACACAGCTAAGACCAAACCAGGATTTAAGCCAGCTGTGAGGCAACAGTGCATCTTCACTTGGGAGTGAAGAGATTTGGGACAGGAGTGATGGGAACACATATAGTTTTACCTTTACCACTGTCCCATTAATAATGCACACAGGTATGATATTTTCCTTGATTTGACCTACACTGGTGGATTTAAAGTTAATTTCAGTCGGGACAGGTCAAATTTCTGTACACTGAGCAGTCTCAGTGTACAGAAATATGTAGCACATAAATTTTAAAAAAATATTTATTTTTTATGTTTTAGGGGTCACCTTAGGAAAAGTCATCCAATTTCAAAATAAAATAATTAATATTTATTCGTTTAGTCACATGTAAAAATTGACCCAAACAGCAGTCTGTGTCAAAAGTCTCAAGCAGACACAGCGCCACCCTGCGGCTGCCTGAAGACTTTACAGTGATCCAACGGTTCTTCGGTTAGGAGCACAGACGGCTTTTATTTTGAAACAAACCGCGTACGGGAAGTCGGAGGGGAAAATCAGCTGGACTCCGCGGAAATCACCAACAGGAGTATTTTCCTTTTATTTAGCTAGCTAACCATCTGTCAACTCCCATTTCTCCCTCCCTTCTTTATTGCTGTCAAACCGCCACACTGGCGATGTCGGAGTCGTACGGTAAGATAGCACTTTTGACCTGTGGCCACCGTTATCATCCTCCCGTAGCCTCAGAGATGGGATGGGGCAGGTGTGCCCAGAGAGCTTTTTCTCATCGTAAACAGATAGCTGACAGGCTAACCGAGCCGCCGCTGAAGGCTGCTGGCCTTAAAAGTTGCCTCGTCAGCGTAAGGAAACCCACAAAGGCTGTACAGCAGAGTTTAGTGTTGCCGTGTGCAAAAAATGTACCAACGGTACAAGGTTACAAAGCTCCCCGGAGGGTATCGTAAAAGACAAGGGAAGCTGACACCTGGCTGGGGCTTGGTGCAGCTGTAATATCTGACTGAGCTGCAACATTACAGTCATATATGAGGCATTGTTTTCTTAGCTTGACCATTTTACACCAAAATAATGATTATTTTGCTAGTTTAGTGGTTTAATAGTGGATAAATTCCTCCGCTACACAGAACAGCTGACTGTAGTTTTTGTTTGCCTACATCAAAGCCTCCACAATATTTTCTTTGTGAGGAGGGGTGGGGTACTTAATTTTTTGTTTGTTTTTCATTAGGATGATACCTATATCAATATTTGAAAGCTATAAAATCAAGCAAGTAAAGCCATGCGCTGTTTGTTGTTAAACATCAGTTTATTATGGCCAAAGCATCACAGTATTGTGCAGCATATGCTTGAGCCTGACTGATAAATTGATTTTGGGAGCCGATGTGCACAGTTTGTCACAGTTATATATCTGAAACCCATTTAGAACACCTGCCAAGAAAATTAAAGACAAAAATCAAATTTCTAGTTTACTACTCATAAAATCATTCTGTAATCCACAATTTAGTCTGTGCTGGACTGTGGTGATGTGGTTATATGATTTGTCTGCATCTTGATTTTTGCATTGTATTTTATCGCAGGTGATTCTTTTCTGTCTTGTATGAAAAAATGTACTTGTCCTCTTTAGCTATAATAATACTACAGGAGTATATGCTGGTAAATGTGGGTGTTTGCAAGGCTACTGCAGAGATTACTGGATTTACTGGACTTCATAACAGTGACGGTAACTCTCACCACTCAAGTGGGGGGAAAACTAAATTTAAATGAGCTACAAAATATATGAAGCTACAGTTTCTGATTTCTCTAGAATATTTTGAAAGGTCATGTGTACGGAACTTGAGCCACACCCTCATTTGTTTATATTTTGCAAGGAAAATAAGAAATAGGTGCAGCACTTTCTTTGAAACATGCAAAAATATATGGAAATACAGAATATAAGGCAAAAACAGAGTTTGTAATGAGTGTGAAAGTCAGGATTTGGTATTCTTCAGCACAGCCTGAACTCTGTTAGACAGGTTTTTGTAATTTCTTTAAGTAGTCTTCAGGAATAGTTCTCTGGACTTCTCAAAGGACATTCAAAGCTCTTCATTGGATTTTGACTGCCTTTATTTCTGATTTCTATCAGGATGATCCCAAACTGCCACTGAGTTTCACTCCAGTTCTTGTGTAATTTGGCATACCTCAACCTTTTCTCCCTGTTTCCTTTCCTTAAGAACAACTGAGTTTGTAGATGGATCAACTGAAGGATGAGTTTTATCTCTCAGGTCAAGTTATTACAGTTCACTAAAACTAAACTAAAAAAATAAAACTGTTTTTTAAAGATGGACTAACTGACATGACATTGACTAATTAAACTAAACTTATTTAGTTTGTTGTCACATGTAGCTTCATTAGGCCTTGGTACATTTGGTTATTAAGGCTTGGAATGACTGTGAGCTAACTGCCTGTGTTTGTATTATAATATCTGTTCTGAACCCCTGAAAAGCACAACCCAGATTACAATAAATAAGAAAGCTAGCACTGAAGCTAAACACTAAAATGAAACGAGCAAACTCACTGTGGAAATGAAACTAAATTGACAAGAAAAACGAGCTGGATATACCAAACTAAGACTACAGTAACTGAGCTTTTCCCACATTTTTCTTGTAATTTCCTGTCGTTTTAGCTACCGTCTATAGCAACTAGTTTCATATAGTCTGATAATAATAGCCCAACTGATGTAATGTGTGTCCTTGCTTTTCCCTTTGCAGATTTCCTCTTTAAATTCCTGGTGATTGGGAATGCTGGAACGGGAAAATCCTGTCTTCTGCACCAGTTCATAGAGAAGAGGTGTAAGTCTGAAAGATCCATTACACTCCTGACTGTTTACTGCAAACTACAGCACTACATCAGGGAATTTTCTTCAGGCAAATGAGACAGTAAATATGCCAGTAATTTCCACATGTTAAAGATTCCTAGGATGGAAATCAAGATTTCAACATTTTAAGTCAATATTTCATGAGTGAAATAAGCAGTCAAATTAATGGATATGACTGCATTCTTAATCCATGGATTTAACTGTGTGCATTTATACTTGCATTCTGAGTTTTATAGGCAAAACTAAGAAATCTGTCCTGTTAACTTTGGGTTAAAGCTAAGCTTCTCAGAGCTGACACGCTGGAAAGGGGGTTGTGTTAGATAAGAAATGCATTTACATTTCTAATATTGTTGAGGATGATCCACTGTAATGACAAAACTATTTGCTCGTCCGCCTTCACACTCATATAAACTTGAGTCTCATCCCATTCTTAATCCATTGCGTTTAATATGTCAGCCCACCCTTTGCAGCTATAACAGCTCCAGATCTCTTCCACAAGATCTAGGTGTGTGTTCATGGGAATTTCTGATCATTCTTCCAGAAGTGCATTTGTGAAGTCAGACACTTATGTGGTTTGAGGAGGCCTGGCTTGCAGTCTCTGCTCTAATTCATCCTAAAGGTGCTCTGTTGGGTTGAGGTCAGGACTCTACAGGCCAGTCAAATGCTTCCATCCCAAACTGTTTCCACAAAATAGGAATCATGAAATGGTCCAAAGTGTCTTGATATGCTGAAGCATTAAGAGTTTGCAGTCAGACAAGTGCTGTTCTCTTGGCAACCACCAAACTCATACTTGTCCACTGCTCTAGTGTCCAGTGGCAGTGTGCTCTTTACACCACTGCAACCGACGCTTTAAGTTGTGTTTGGTGATGTATCGCTTGGATGCAGCTGTGTGGCCATGAAGCTATCTATGCACTGTCCTTGAGCTGATCTAAAGGCCACATGTAGTTTGGAGGTCTGCAGTGATTGACAAAATTGACTTTTTTATTTCTAGACACTGTGTGTGTGAGTTGCTGTCGTTCTTAAATGCTTCCACTTTGTTATAATACAACTAACAGTTGACTGTGTAAAATTTAGTAGTGAGAAAATTTCAGACTGGACTTGTTGGGCAGGTGGCATCCTATCACAGTACCACACTGGAATTCAGTGAGCTCCTGAGATCAACCCATTTTTACAAATGTGTGTAGAAGCAGTCTGCAGGCATAGGTGCTTGATATTTATACACCAGTGGGATTTGAAATGACTGAAACACCTACATTCAATGATTGTGATGGGGGAGTGAATGCTATCGGCAAATAGTGTATGTGAAATTTGCCAGTCTGAGCCAATCTGATATATTGACATGTGGTCAATTTCCCCTTGTTTTTCTTCAGAATGACTTTCCAGTTCAAACATGTAGAGCTCAAATACTCCAGTGTCAACTTACCATTGTGTAAAGTAGAGCAGTGTTAGTGTGTGAGCAGAGTCAGAGGTGAACCGATTTGCTGGAACTGCACAGCAGCAGGGGAGGAGTGGGTGTCAGTAGAGATTGGAATGAAATTTCATATTCACAGATGCGAAAGGAGGCAAAAGTGTGAGTGACATCAAGCTACATCACATTTTACACCAGGTTGAACCACATTTTAAGGCATGAAGGGATACATTTATGAAAAAACAACTTCTAAATGTGTGATTTTTATGATTGGTTCTGTTTTTTAAGGGTGAAACCAAAACCTACAACCAGACTCCAGGAGAAAAACTTCAAAGAAAATCATTGTCTCATCCACACATGCTGAAATTGGCTTATTTTTCATTGAAGTGCAGAAGCAACAGTTGTTTTCCTTACAGCCACACAGTGATAATCATATCATCCCTATTAATCCCCCTTATTTAATAATATTAATGCATTTGCATGTTTTATGTATTTATTTTTTTTCTAGTCAAGGATGAATCTAACCACACAATCGGAGTCGAGTTTGGCTCTAAGATCATCAGCGTGGTCAACAAAATGGTCAAGCTTCAGATTTGGGACACCGCAGGACAAGAGAGGTTCAGGTAGGAAAAAAGCCCAACGTGAATATGCACTTGGCACACAAGTCATCTCTGTTATGCTGCAGACATTCAGCTAGCAGTACTATAGCTTAAAGACCAGAGTAACAGACACGGGAGTTTTGGAATGTAACGGAGAGCTCAAAAAGCTGTTATTAAACTCGGCTGCCTAATTGATGTCCTGAGTAAAACAGGAATAGTTTTGTTGCTTCTGATTATTTTATTTATTCAATTTTCTGCTATAGCTGCTATAACAATTTAAGGCGAATCTGGTGAAGATATTTTCCAGAATTGCCTTTTTTTTGAGGTAGCACACGCCAGGAATTGGTTCTGTTGTTTTGTCCTGGCTAAATGCAGCTGTCTGAACAGAGGGTGCACTGAGCAGCAAACATGACACCCACTCACTAGTGATGCATGCCCCAGACGGTTAGGTCTGTCTGTGCATTGCCACAATCCAGCTCACGTGGACTGTAGAGCTAGCAAGTTAAAGACCAACCTGATTAAACTGCAGCAGACATTTAAGTAGGTCTCTACAAAGTTCAGGAGTTAAATGGTTTTCACACATGCATTGATGTTTTTTCTTTTCTTCAGGGGGAATGTATTGTATACTTCCTGATTGTTCTCAATGTATGTCTACTAATCTGTGTGTGTCTGTGTGTTAGGTCTGTGACCAGGAGCTACTACAGAGGAGCAGCAGGAGCCCTGCTGGTCTATGACATCACCAGGTATCACACAATGTGATGCTAGGCTTTTCACATTTCTCTAATTTGTTCCTCCTCCTCTCCTCTCTCCACCCTCTTGCCTAAGACTAAAAGGAATTGAGGATGCACAAACTGAGAAATATGATAGGCTCTGTGTTTCAAGCCTCTAATTTATTTTGGTTTTCTAATTAGCTTCCACATCTATTCCAAACTGTAACATGTCATTACCTGCCATCCTTTTTATTATTATTTTTTGTTGCAGTCGAGAGACGTACAACGCTCTGACCACATGGCTGAGTGACGCGAGGATGCTGGCGAGTCAGAACATCGTCATAATCCTGTGTGGGAACAAGAAGGACCTGGATGCTGACAGGGAGGTCACCTTTCTGGAGGCTTCCCGCTTCGCTCAGGAGAACGGTAAGACCAGCAGCTGATTATTGGGAACGATTCCTGTTGTTGTTGTTAGATGTGTAGACCATCAACTTCAAAGAATTATTGAATTGTTATTTATTATAATGTGTTCATTGTAAACTTATGTAACAGAGCTGATGTTCCTGGAAACCAGCGCTCTAACAGGGGAGAACGTCGAAGAGGCCTTTGTCCAGTGTGCTCGGAAAATCCTCAACAAGATAGAGTCAGGTATGAGCTGTAGTCAACACCCTTACCTGTGTGTGCCCCAGCGCTTATTCTGTCAAACCACATGATTCTGTATATCTCTTAACACCACTACCTCAGTCAGAAACAAAATATTTTTATATCATTCAGAAGCCCAGACAGCTAACCCATCAACTAGCTGGCCTACAGCATTGTTCCAGGAAGAATCGAACTTTAACAAAAGCCTTTTGCAAACTTATATAGATGATTAAAGCCTTTTCTCAACTGTCAGTGAACTAAGCACAATAGGTGTAAGTTGGTTATCTCGCTGACTGTTCACTCATGTGATCTCTTGTGTTTCAGGGGAGCTGGATCCAGAAAGGATGGGCTCAGGTATCCAATACGGCGACGCTGCTTTACGACAGCTTCGCTCTCCTCGTCGTGCTCAGCCACAGGGCACCCAAGAATGCGGCTGCTAGTGGACGTGTCCTGTAACACATACAGACGAGGTGAGGGGGTCCTGAGTCTGTACTGTCTACACAGCATTAAAATGAAAAGGTGTCTGAGGGCTTTCAAATAAGGAGAACCTGTGTTTAGAAGCTGAAATTATGCCTTCTGCTCCCCGCAGTGTCTCTCAGATGTGCAGACTCAGTAATTCTATATTTAGTCAGTGCCCATTTTTGCTTCTGCGCACTTGATCCACCCATCATTTGAAAGGAAGCCTTCATTATGATTGTCCAAGACAGTAATCATGAAGGCTGTAATCATTAAATAGTGGCATAAAGTAAAAGGTGGATGTATGTTATTACCTACATATTACACAATAAGATGAACGTAGAAATTCTGGTGTCCATAACTATTTGCACCAGACTTTGGCTGAACTGATGCCTGATCGCTGATAGAAAGTCGTTACACCACAGTTCCAGCTGCAGTCTGACAGTTTTCCCTGTTTACATGTCAGATTATTGCTTTTGCCTAGATATTATTATTATTATTATTAGTATTATTGTTGTTGTTGTTGTTGTTGTTGTTGTTGTTATTGTTATGATTATTATTATTGTTGTTGTTGTTATTGTTGTTGTTGTTGTTGTTATTGTTGTTATTATTATTATTAGCAGCAGAACACTATGAAGCAGTTTTGCTGATTCCTACATGAAGTCCAGTAAGCACTCCTCAGGGCGCTAAAAACCAGACCAGCGGCAGATATTTAAAATAGCTTGATTAATTGTGATGACTCTCGAGTAAATGATAAACACACAAATCTTTTTTACACATACAAATCTTTTTTACACATACAAATCTTTTTTACGCACACACAAATTCTTTTTACACATACAAATCTTTTTTACGCACACACAAATCTTTTTTACAAGTACAAAATATTTATGACCACATTTTGAGCCCATACTTTTGTGTATTTCTGCAACATCTGTGTGTTTTATATGCAGGTTTGTGAAGACCAGGAGAAAAACAGCCATGTGAGACCTGATAACGTGGGGTTCAGATCGCTACGCTGGTGACTTCTCCCCGACCTTTGACCCCTAACCTTTGCACGGACCCCTCAGAACCTTGTTGCCATGCAGATAGCTCAAAAGACTTCCCTGTCACGCCCCCTCCCAGAACTTAAAGATCTCCAAGGTAACCAGAGATCAGCCAACAGTCTGCTCTTCTATTGGACCAAACTGTCCCTCCAACCAAGACCACCCCCAACACTTCTCTCGTCCACACACCTGCCAACCCAGATTACCACATTTTAGATTTCCCAGTCGACCCTCCAGCTACTTAAACAGACATACTAAATACAGATTTTTGGAGCAAGCTCCACAGACCTTTAGATTGAGCTAAACTAACTGCCCCCTGGCTCCAGTTTGATACTTAGTGCACTGATGCGTGGTCTTGATTTTCTCAGAAAAAAAAATTTCTCGTCTTGTGGAAATATTCCTTCGACCACATGCTAATTTAAGTCCCTTCCCTTCCACAGGTCTTCTGCTTCTCTTGCTCTAATTATCTGCTAACTCCATGCTTGCATTTGCAAACACACCACTAACAGTATCCTGTGTAGCTGTGCAGTTTGCACTTCTTGTGTGCCACCTCCACTCCCTTTCTTCACCTGATATCACTGTTTGTATTCTTGTTAAAATATCCAGACCATCATTGCAACTGAATAATTATGCATAGGATGTGATGTCATAGGTTTGATGTCACAGGAGGAAAAAAAGATGAGGTTGTGGTGGATGAATGGCTCAAATCTGAGTGTTGAAGTGGATGGGATGAGAATTGGCACCCTCAGATAAGACCCCAGGCTGTAAAAGGGTGAATTACCCGTTCTCAGCTGAGACTGAAGCAGATTAATCTACCTGTCCTCACCTGTGGCTGCGGGTGTTGAACTAAAGAATTAGTGGACGAACAATCCCCAGCTGTAGTGTATGGGGTCTGTTAGAGATAGAGCAAGGATCTCAGTCAGTAGAAACACTGCTCCTCCATGTTGAGGTGTTTGATGCATGTCCTATGGGCTGTCGTCAGACAAGCTGTTGAGATTGCATCTCTCAGCTGGACCATTAAAAACTGTGGATGCTGGGAACAGGGAGGTCTAGGCATCTCTGCTTACACTGCTGCTCTCATGGCCTTCAGCAGGAAATGAGTGGATGAGAAACACTTAATTTGTTTCTTTCAAGCAAAAGCAAACATGGAAATATTTGTACTTCCATGACCTGTTACATTTTCATTGTGAAAATGTGTTTTGAGAAAGGGGAAAAATACCGTATTTTATTAGAATTAGCAGAAACATGGATCTTTTCCTAAAACAGAGTCTTTAACAATGTTATTTCTCTATTAAAAAGCATGACTAATCAGTAACAGTGATGGTCAGGGCAACACCTTAATATTGATATGATATTGCAGGAAATACACACACACTTTTACATCCCTCTTTTTCTCTCCTCCTCTCCCCTAAATCATCCCTGTACCTGTACAGTGTTTCTGTAAATAGTTTGACGCATGTTTTCTCAAACAAAATATCAGAGTATTTCATTATGAAGAGATATTACGTGTATATTATAATAGATATCATATTCAGCATCTGCTTCGTGCTCCACTGCATCATTATCATTTGAAGCAACTATACACTGGCAACTTGTAGCAGGATACTAGTGATGGGCAGTACTCAGTATTTTATTTTATTTGTTAAACAGGACAAGCTGGTTCAGATTTTATTATGAATTATGAGGGAAAAGATTCTGAAACAAATTTTTATTTGTTGTTTTTGGATTTGTTTGTTTTTTTGACAAGCTCACAGATAATAAACAGAGGTAGCCTGACATGTTCTGTGTAGACACTGGGCTTTCATTTGTGTTAAATGAAGGTACATCTTTGAATTCACAAGTCAGCAACCGCAACTGAATAAAATGTTGGTGTAAAACTTTCTTTATCCAAAGTTTTCCACTCAAGTCTAATGACTGACCTGTCGTATATAAATGTTGCCTGTTTACATGAGTGTTGACTGCTGCCAGATGTGGGGTCATACTAACTTGTTGGTTTTTAAGTTTTAACGATGGTTTGAGGCTTATCCAGTGTGTGCTTTACTCCTTGTTATCTCCTGTTGTTAACTTTGACCGTGTTAAGTCGGAGGAAACGATTATGAGGCGTGTTTTGCATCAGAGCATTCACGCGTCGCATCAGCTCAGATATACTTTAGATCAGGGGTATCAAACCCATTTTACATTTTGGGCCACATATAGCTCAATTTGATATCAATTAGGTCAGACCAGTAAAACTATCGGCTAATAACATATAGGCTTACAGTTGAAAAAATAAAGGTGTAAATTACAGGAAAACCACTGGCAGTTCATTACCTCCCAGTTATCTACTTATCATTTAAAAAACAGACATTTTCTGTTAACTTACAATATGTTTTAATTTCTATAAGGAAGCATGGAAAAAAGGTTTTCTGTTATGTGATGGAATCTAACAATAATAAGCGAGTCCAAAGTTTATGCCCTTGTGAAGATTTCACATTTTCCAAAGCCATACGAGGGGCCTTCTCTGGCCCCCAGGCCATACGTTCACCTTCCCCGCTTTAGATGATATTAGCCGTTTTAAAACGAGGATTTTGAATCAGACACTTCAAATGTTTCCCATCCTTCGGTGTTTGATATCTGATGGTGGCTTTGGTTGTTCTGCATCATGTGTTTTTCTCATCAGGTCATTTGTTTGTATTTATGTGTGTCCTTTTTTCCTGTCATTATGAATATCATAGATTTATAATTTATTATGTATGATAAAGGCATATGTTTTTAAAATAAATACTACTACAAATCCAGCATTGTCTTCACTAAACGAGACTTTTTTACCTACAATCTTTGACCAAGCAGAAACCATTTCAATGAGCTCTGTGAGCTCTGATGGATGGAGTATAGTCAAACGTAAAATCAGAGGATTCCTTTTATTTGCAACAGTCATAGATTCAGTAAAGGGTCATTCAATATAAAATCAATCAAGTATGAAAAACGTTCCCACTTTGACAAACTTGTTTTGGATCTAATCTGAAATGTTGCAACAATGATATAGAACGTGTGAACACCAGTGAAGTTTCTCAGTTTCACAGCTGTAATGTACAGTACTGCATGTGCATATTTACTGCATTTCAATAGCAGTCCTCTAATCTTCTTGACCACTTATGGAACTTTAGATGTCTGCTTAGCTTCTGAAATCAGATGAGATGGAGTATGTCCAGAGCAAAGCTATGAGATGAGCCTGGTTATCAAACAGTAGGTAAAACAGATTTTTCATGCGATCCACCTAACCCAAATGGTAATAAAAGCCTTGAAAATGTATTTATATATATATTGTATATATTTGCAGGACCTTTAAAATTGTACATGGCCTTATTAAATATGTTAACTTTATTGTACAAAAACTTAGTGTAAACAGACTTATTTCAGTATACAGCAGGTGCTTGATAATGTACTGAGAGACCACACCATGTCACTGCAAGAATCAGGATTAAGACAATGAAAATAGCCTGTTAATATTAAATAAGTCTTGAGAATAATCACAGATGTAAATGTATTTTATTAAAAGCTCAGCGTAACACCACGTAAGCCCACCTGTTTTAAATCCTTTAATTATGACAATGAAGCTTGTTCAAAGCTCAATATGTAAACAAAGAATGTACAGAATTAAGCAGTTTTACAGTTGTTACATCTGTTGTTAGTAAACTAGACCAAGTACATCAGTTATTTGTCATGCAAGTGCCTTCACAATCACGTGAAACTCATTTTTCACTAACATCATCCTGCACTGTGAAGCGTGAATGAGTAACGTGTCAGGAATGTTTTGGCTTGGTGGATTTCTGCCACACATTATCATGTAAACCTAAGAAAAACACATAGTGAGTAAAATATCTCCTGACTAGAGGTACACGTCTAAACAGTCTAAGTCGACTATAAAGCTTTGTCCCAATAACTAACAAAGAAGTAAGGAATGTATCGTTCTGCTTCCCTCCTGTTTTTTGAGATTGTCAAAGTTCATCACATCTAAAATCACAAAGGCTCAAAACCGACTTTTAAAGCATCAAAATATTGCACCAACCTGCATTTCATTAAAACTTAAAAGCAAATCTTAACAATGTAATACTGAACTCAAAGTTTCAACATTCACAGAAATCAAGTGTGAAAAAGTAAAAACAAAAGTAAAAGCGGGGCCACTAACCAAACTATCATCTGCAAAATATTTACACCAACAACAGCTGAAAATGTTTGTTCACCAAGTCTTAATGGCACAAAGCTTATTTTATCTTTGTTACATTACTAGATCTGACTTCTTGTGGTTTGAACAGTCATTATTTGAGTTTACATACTTTTGTCTAATGTTCATAAATTAATTACATGAAAACAACACAGTGATTAAATGATCAAAGCGCTTCTTGACTGGCTGAAAACCAAACAGTACATCAGCATAATGTGTTTGTATGCATTTCCTGTTAATGGTTATTTAAGCTGTAACTGACTCTAAATTAATAACGATAAAGACGTTTGGCCTCAACAACAAACCAAAGGGAGCTCAACACGCTCTAGTTTAATGAAATGCATGCAAGTAGCAATTAATTTTTTTAAGTATCTTCCATCTGCCAGCGCATCAACTGCAAATCCAACACTCAATCAGACAGAAGGTTTTAAATACAGAGGCTTAAAACGGAGCCAAATCACGTAGATTAAAATATTCTGATATTTAGTTTTGCTAAATATCAAATATTAAATTGTTGAAAGCAACAGAACAATACAGATTTTGGTTGCCTTTCATGTATGTGCTTACATAGGTACTAGTCAAACCCTCACAAAGGCCTATTCAAAAACTGGAAATATTTCTAGAGGACACAAAGAGGTGATAAACCAAACTATAAGGAAGCTTTTTTGCCACCACACCAAAAACAAACAAACATACATAGATTTTGACTAGGACTCTCAACATTAACGCATCATCATGATTAATGTGATTAAAATCTTTGGCGGTCAGAATGGACAAACTTTGGACAAACTGCCCGAAATACATTGACGGAGACATTTCAGGGATTTTGAGTCATTCTGCAATTCAGATGGGTGAATTGCATAAAATTTTAATCGCGTTAAGTGTGATGACGGATTAATCTGCATTAATGTTGACAACCCTAGTTTTGAGCCGTAAGTAAAAAATGTATTTATTTCAATTTCAAGTAATTTTCTCAGAAGTTAGTTAGTCAAAGATTTTACTCATGGATGCCAAAAAATGTTTGTTGTCCATACAGCTTCCATACATGCTTGTTGTTTTTGTGACTTAAGTTATTGAAGTCAGCAGCAAGTCAGCTGCAAGTCGATAGACTGTGCTCCGTCAGCCAAACACAGTCTATCGTTTTTGCGTCCCCTGTAAATCTTTCAGGTGTTGTCTGTGCAGCACTTCTCTGTAGTTGGTTATTTTCTCTGAATGTTTCTAAATCTGCTTGTGTTTTTTTCTATTTACCTGTGCTTTTAAAACAAAAAAACTGCAGTGTGTTCAACTCTCTCTGATACTGCTGCTACTTGCGTGTGTGGATGTATGAAGGAAAGTCCGCAGTATCCACAATACCGTTGAGACCTTAGCACCAAAATGATTAAGAACAAAGCAATGCTATCAGTTATAAAACCACTTTAAGTCACTAACGCATCAGAGTTCATGAAAATACTTGAAAATGCAATGTCACAAAACACGTGTGATTTTCACTGTCAGCATAAAGTGAGTCACTACCTAACAACCACGTCTGAACCATCAGGAGGGACACAAAGGTGAAGCAGCTCCCAGCATTAAAAATCCACTCTTACATATCAATATATCTATACATCAATTAAGTGTACTCAGCTGTACTCTGCACAAATAGGAAAATATGCACATTAAAAGTCAAGTGAATTTGAAATAAAACTTTCATCTGATTAAACTACTCCGAGTTCTTGGCATAAATTTGTGTCTGTGTGCGCACACAGGAAATGACGTATTATTATATACGTTCACACCATTGTTCACTTTACCTCAGAAGAACAAGGCTCTATCTTTTCGACATGTCCCACTGTAGTTTGAGATCTATGTATAAAAATATGGGTACATCTTATACAGCATGTATTTAAAGGGGCTGCATCAAAGTATGGCTTTGACATACGTTTGGGACTCCTCATCCTCAACTAAACTTGTGTATTACAGACGTATCCATTATTTTTACATTTGTTATAAAGTATCTTACTCTGTAAAATACATATTATTGTACTGTCTTAGTAAAAGCGGTTTATAGAAACATGGAGGAATAAGCCACACAGTGAAACTTAACATTGAAGGAAAGTCAGCTTCCATCCTGAGAATCTGTTTGAATCCATTTCATGTTATCATTTACATGTGTTGGTGTTTAACCCTCAAGTGACCATGCTCCTTTAGCCACTAAAATGACCAAGTGTGGTCATTTATGACCCTATTATATTATATGCAAGAACTCTTTTTTTAAAGGGCTCTGTTAGTGCTTGTGCTCTAATATCATTCAATAATGCTTTTTTTTTTTGCTCTTTTGCATTGTTTATGCAAAAAACAGACCTTATTGTCTGTCTGTTACTTCTATTGAAACTATTTTCTTTGTTTCAATAATACTAGGGGGGAAAAAAAAGATTTATTTTAAACCTTGAGGTATGTTTGTTTTACAGCATGCCAATTTTAACTCTAAAATATAGGGGAAAAGAACATTTAAAAAAGGAACTGCCGAAAACTCTAGATGAAGTAACTATCAAATTCATAGTAGGGAACATTAAAAGTAATCCCAGTATAAATATAGTCCTACTCGGCCACTTGAAGTTTAAACTTTAGAGGCGAGAGGCAGTGATGGCTTCAGTTTTGTGTTTGTTGTCTAGAGTCATCCTGATGTAGAGGGTCTTTTTTCCGGTTTGTGTCCTATCGCGAGCGAGCCGAAAAGCAACGCATGTACTCAGTTAGCCAGGGGTTGAACTCAGGTTGGACCACTTTTCTGGCCTTGTCCAGGTCAGCAGACTTGGCTCTCCGCCGCTCAGACCGCTGAGTCTGGATATGACGCTCCACCTCCCGCCTGGTCTTAGCACGCAGAGCTGATTCATAGATCTATCAGGTAAACAAAAATCCAATGTAACAACAAGCTTCTGTATGTACCTGTCAACAAATCCACTATGACAGTAAAATAACCTCATTAGTCGAAGCCACTGGGCCGACGTTGTGCGTCTTCCTTCCTGCAGTGTCTGCATCTTTCTCCCCCGACCCATACAAGGCGAAAGGATGTCTGCTCTCCTTACTGTCCTCTCTGGGCAGTCGAGATGGTGCAGGCCTGACCCGCTGTGATCGCCGGGGTTGCCTCAAGGACTTTGAGGGTTTACTCTGCTGTGGTCGGGGTCCTTCAGAGTCTCTCTCTATAAACAGAAGAAGCAAACGGGCTAAAGCACCACCAACATGGAAGAGGAACTCACAAAATAAACCAGAGGCACTATAAACTATCTATGGACGTTGCTTATAACAGAGTTGTTTGCTAAAAGCAAAATACAAATTGACTTAACTTTAATCAACTTTCAGTTCATCATTTCATTAACAGTGTTTATTATAAGGCTTTTTCATTTATTTATTTATTTTTAATTGACTCAGCAACTGTTAATTACTTATTACCTCTGTTGCTGGCTCTCTGCTCCTCTTGTAGTACCTTTGTCTCCCTCATAGCATCAGATGCTGGGCCAAAAGAGCAAAGAAAATCGTAAGTTACAGTAAAGTATCAAGCATGTATCCCTACAATGCAGTAATAGGGCGACTGAATGAAAAAGAAATAAAGGAGCTGGACAAGAGGGCTCAAATTTGGAGAATAAATTTGACAACCAAAAGCTTTGAGTCAAAGACTTAAGAATTTTTCCGGGAACATTATTATTATTATTATTATTATGAACAACCCACATCACCCACTGCATGAGTATGTGAGTGGGCTGAGCAGCTCCTTTAGTCACAGACTGAAACACCCTCGCTGCAGGAAGGAGCGCTTTCGCAGATCATTTATCCCAACAGCAGTTAGACTCTATAACTCCTCAATCACAATGTCATAAGTCACTGGACACTGTGAACATCCACGGTCACCACTTCATGCATAATGGACCTTCCATGTGTATGGACATTTGCAGGTATATATGTATGTATATGTATACATATGTATATTTAGTGTGTACATGTGTGTGTGTACATGTCTATAAATAGGAATAGTAGTGGTACAATAGCTATATCAAGCTATATACGTTATGTCTTCCATATTTCCAACCATATCCATAATCACATACTGTGTATGCTACCATTGTATATAGTGTATTATCTTACTTTTTTTCATTGATTGTACTTATTTGTATTTTTGTATTTCCTTCTGATATCTGTACCTGAGCTGAGGTGATGCAAAAATTTCCCCGTTGTGGGATCAATAAAGTCTTATCTTATCTTTATTATTATTATTATTATATTTTCGATGGCTTTAATACGTAATATTTAAAATGATACATCCCAGTATGTTATTAAGGGTTTTATACAGGTTACCATGAAGTGCAGACTGTGCAGCAGGCCCTGTATCCTCCTCCTCTTCTTGAATAGGAAGCCTGGGTACGGGCCCCGAGGTTCTGCTCTGCTCCTGTTGTGTGTCCGTCCTCGCACCCCCACACTCCTCGAGCTCAGCCTCCGGGCGGCCACCGGTATCCTCCTGGTCCCGTACCTGGTTCTTGCTTGGAGGAATAGGAGGACTTCTACCTCCCGAGTCCGAGTCAGTATCGGAGCCGCTCCAGAACCAGGGGTTGTGCGTGTGTTCCAGCAGCCTGCGGGTCAGCCTGTACTTCAACATCTCCTCGTAACATTTAGTGTACGTGTCCCATTTGGGATCTTTGAACTTCTTCATGTACTCCGAGCGGATCCTCTTCGCCACCATCTTGCTCCTCTGAAAACTCTATAAACTGAAAAAAAAACAGCTTGTTGTTACTCAAGCGGAACACGCCTAAACAGCCTCCACGCCCCTTTACACACAGCTCCGCGTTTGTTAGCACCGCCAGACATTTAAAAGATAATGGGGAAGCCGTTAAAACCAATGACGGAGCAGCACGAGGGGTTCCCCCTCCTCTAAGGAGCCCGCCTACATCCTGTCGAAGGCGGATGCAGGCGGGGGCAGTTTGCCTCCTTGTGTTAGGAAAGAGAACAAAAGACAAATCTGGGGACAATTACATAGTAAATGATCCATTTTTAATTCATTTAATCGGCGTTTCATTTTTTTTAATGGCCTCCGGTAAAAACCGTTACATCGTTAAGAGCAGAAAGTTCCTGAACGCGATGACGCAAGTGCCACCTTCTACTCTGATTGGCCGCAGAGGTGTAAACTGCTCTTGAGTATTGCAATTTACAGGTCGGATACAAATCAGTGTGGAAAAAAGGAAACAAGAAACAAAAAAACACGACAGGCTGTGAAACGCATTCAGCTACAGCTCTACAAGCCTGTCCTCACTGCTGAAAAATGCTGTTCCGTAGTCCAGCTAATCAACACATGCGTACAGAAAGCACAAGTGTACCATACGCCATTAGGCTGTAACTGAGAATCAGTGAGCTGGCTATTTATTGCCTGTAGCTTTTATAGCTATTACCTCCTCATGACAAATGTGTTATTTATAAACCTCCATTATTAATCATATGGCGCTAATACTGACACAGGGCAGTGATAATCGCCTGTCAGCGCCCGCAGGTGAAGCGCAGTAAACGTTAAATGTCACAGACCATCCATCGTCACTACTCAACAGCAGTGCGCGCCTCGCACGGAGAAATTCGGGGCTGTAACTGTCTAATTTTGTGTACAGTAAATATACTCACACCGGGGTCGGATTTCACGGAAGCAGAGCAGGACAGATGGCGTTCACAGTGCCGCTGCTGTAATCACACACGGGACTGCGTCTCCGAGCTTAGCTCCGCCCACCTGATGACGTTTTTAAAAAGCCAAACACACCCGCAACAGGTGGCCCCGCGCCGGGGTGTCAGGAATGCCGTCTGTGCGGCCATGGAACTTGTACAAAATGGCAAAAGAGGATGGAAATACAGTTTGTTTTTGTCGTATAAGGTATGAGCCGTTTAGGCTTCAGTGATTACACCTAGGCCAACTTGTTAATTAAGATAAATGGTGCTCTGTAGGGGGGAAAACAGGAAACATGTTGGCTTACAATAGGCTACTCGGGTGCTATAAATGATGTGCGCGCCTGCAGCCTACTCCCAAACCTACATCTACATAACCTGTGAGCTTATATGCATATAAGGTATAATCCTGCGGAGATGACCCACGGTACCCGGAGTCTGGTTGTGTCTAAAGATGGTCTGGGGGCCGGTGGGTGAGCTCCTATGGTCGTGGAGGGAGGGTGTCAGGTGTCGGATATGCTACTAATCCAGTCAGTCTAAAAGGCTGAGCTGCTGCTGCTGCCTTCGCGCATTCCTGGCAAGTCAAACACCGACTGTCGGCAACCGCTCGAAGGCGTCGCCCTTCAATACCTCTTTCACCTAGCAGCCCCTCCCCCTGCCTCTCGTCCATCCAAATATGATCCAGACATTAGTGCCAGCTCGCGTTTAGATGTCCATGAATGCGCCCTGCACCTGGTCTTTCGTGGAACAATTAGCCGCACTATGTTTCGTTTAGTGGTTATCCCAGTTTATTTCTCACAGTTCTTGCAGGATTTGTTGAATACTGTAATATTGCATTGTTGGCTTATGGCAAATTTATCTTTTAAGAGATAAAAATGTATTTATCGTCTGATTTCCCTGCGCTTTTGTTTGTCATCCTCTGCCAATACCGGAAAAACAAGACCAGGGGCAAAGTTACCAAATAATGGACTTTAATAAATTATCAATATGTATATACACTTACATTCACATGTGTTGGGCAACATGTTGTTCTTATTTTTTTATTAAAGTTTTTTTGGTGGATGCATGGTTCAGTGGTGGTTTTCACAGCCTTTCTCCGTGCAACACAGACAACATACAGCCATAAAATATGCACATTTTTGAAAGGATTAAAAAATGCATATGAATGTCAGCAGCGCGGACAGACAGTCCATCGACAGCAGAGTGTTGTCGTGCCGCAGAGGTCGATCCTCCTCCTTGCTTGATCTCCAGACGGCTGGTGGTAAAAATGATTGAGATGATGGAGAAGCTGGAGAAAAAGATGAAGGATTTAGAAGCACTTCCTGTGGACAATGCTGGGGCCGGCCTCGTCGTACTCCTGCTTGGAGATCCACATCTGCTGGAAGGTGGACAGGGAAGCCAGGATGGAGCCACCGATCCAGACGGAGTACTTCCTCTCGGGAGGAGCAATGATCTGGAGGAGGAAAGAGTGGATTAGTAAAGTGCCGGTTTCTATAAGTAAACAAGTGTTCAGTGAAATCGGGTGCATATTTGCCAATTTATGCATAAAATATTTCAATCTTCATGTAAACTCTGAAGCTTTTGCTTCTCTGATTTGAGTTCAATTTCAAGTACCTTGATCTTCATGGTGCTGGGAGCCAGGGCAGTGATCTCCTTCTGCATACGGTCAGCAATACCAGGGTACATGGTGGTACCGCCGGAGAGCACATTGTTGGCGTACAGATCCTTACGGATGTCAATATCGCACTTCATGATGCTGTTGTAGGCAGTCTCATGAATACCAGCAGACTCCATACCTGTTCAGATGAGATGAAAAAGTGTTAAGAAATTATTACCCGGTATGTACCAGTAGCCTCCATAAGTCTATTTGGTGGCAAAAACTTTTTTTTAAAGAACTGATTCTTTGAAGTACCGATGAAGGAAGGCTGGAAGAGGGTCTCGGGGCAACGGAACCTCTCGTTACCAATGGTGATGACCTGACCGTCGGGAAGCTCGTAGCTCTTCTCCAGGGAGGAGGAGGAGGCAGCGGTGGCCATCTCGTTCTCGAAGTCCAGAGCCACATAGCACAGCTTCTCCTTGATGTCACGCACGATCTCACGCTCGGCTGTGGAGTTATAAGTTGATAAGTTATTATTCAGAGTGCCAAAAGCGTGAAGCGTGAAATACTAATGTGCGTAATAACACGGATTTAATGGGCTAAACTACACAAATTCTTCGCTGCTGTGAACATGTACACATCTTATTTTCACTCTATTTAAAACAATATCTTTACATTTAAGTATCAATATGCTCGCATGTGGGCATTAATAGGCCTCACAAAGTGTGACAATTATTTGCTGCGCCTTTTGATCTGTATGGGTAAATCTTTGATCAAAGCATGTCATAGCAAATTATCCCAAACACTGCTAATAAAAGTGAACGCTAACTGACAATTTAGACTCGTCTTCGCCCAGATAACGTCTTGCTAGAAAATGTTAGTTTCCTTCTTTCTTTTTCCTCTTTCTTTCAGGCCGTGTTGATTATTGTTCAATTGCTCACCAGTGGTCACGAAGGAGTAGCCACGCTCAGTCAGGATCTTCATCAGGTAGTCGGTCAGATCGCGACCAGCCAGGTCCAGACGCATGATGGCGTGGGGCAGGGCGTAACCCTCATAGACTGGGACGTTGTGGGTCACACCATCACCAGCATCCAGCACAATACCTATAGAGAGCCACGGATAAAATTTAGTAAAGTCCGAGCGACAAAAAACGAAAAAAAAAAGGTTAAAAAATACGTTTTGTGCGTAAAATCATGGGTAAAGTGGGTGCTTGGGGGTGAATTTACGAGATAAAGTCAAATAAACCTACATGAACAGTTCCAGAAAGGCTGGTCGAGTGTGCGTAAAAGTTGTGCGTAAAAGCGTTTTGTTGTGAAATTGCTCCCTCAATAGTTATTGTCATTTATGTTAGATCGATTGACTATGTCAGTAACATATTATTAAGTAATAAGGTAAACTAGCTATATGTGTTTTATGTGTTTAGTAAGCTATGTTTGTTTATTTGTTTTATGTCAGTCTCACCAGTGGTACGGCCGGAAGCGTACAGGGACAGCACAGCCTGGATGGCCACATACATGGCAGGGACGTTGAAGGTCTCAAACATGATCTGGGTCATCTTCTCCCTGTTGGCCTTGGGGTTCAGTGGGGCCTCAGTGAGCAGGGTGGGGTGCTCCTCGGGGGCCACTCTCAGCTCGTTGTAGAAGGTGTGGTGCCAGATCTTCTCCATATCGTCCCAGTTGGTGATGATGCCGTGCTCAATGGGGTACTTCAGAGTCAGGATACCCCTCTTGCTCTGGGCCTCGTCACCGACGTAGGAGTCCTTCTGACCCATACCGACCATGACACCCTGAAGGGAGGAGAGAGGGGAAGATAAAAGGAAGGTTAGCCGGGGACGTCAACTGATCCATACAGATGTGCGACCTTTCCTGGACAGATTAAAGTCTTCGGACAGACACAGTGACCATTGCGTAAATGTGCCACATATCAGTCACAGAGACAGACAGAGCAGTTGTGAAGTTGGCACTTCATCTGTTACTAATTTAAAGGCTGCTCCAGGTAAAAGAAGCCAAAAATATTGTGACTGCGCTGATGCGCAGCTGAACTTTTACAGTCATTTTTAGCAATAAATGTTAAATGTTTTAACAATCCAAAATGTTAATTTATTGTTTTTGTTTATTGCATTTTGATTTTAATTTATTTTTTGGAAGGTTAATTGTATTTCTTGATATTGAACGGTGTGATGGGTGAGGTGTGACAATTAGTGAGTGTGAAATAATGACTGCCGCCAATTAGTCCAGGCTAATATCAAGTCTATCGGTTAATTTTCTTCGCTGTTTACCTGGTGGCGGGGACGGCCGACGATAGAGGGGAACACGGCCCTGGGGGCATCGTCTCCGGCGAAGCCAGCCTTCACCAGGCCGGAGCCGTTGTCGCACACAAGGGCGGTAGTCTCATCGTCGTCACACATGTTGGCTTCTGTAAGAGAGGAGAGGAAGACAAAATATTTGAGTTTAAATCACATCAAATCCATAATGTATGTGACAGAAATGAATTACACAGTAAGGCGTTGATTAACTCTATCATTATTTTGTATTCTCATCCTACGTGTGGCTAAAAAGACTAAAAATAATTTCACGGAGCATGAACCTGTTCAAGTCCACTGCTTGCGCTATATAAATCTATGGTGCATTAACAAACCAACGCGTGATGAGTATCTTTTGTAAACGTCAATTAAATCTTATTAAAAGTAACTGATATTATTTTTAAATTTTCTATTGGAATTTGGCCAGACTTGTCTAAGATTTACTTTTTATTTAATCTTAGAAGAAATCAAGGCTCTAAAATAAGCTAAAGTTGAACCAAAATCCCTAGTATTCCCATTGTCTCACCAATCCTCCCTCAGGTAAATTTCTCTCGTTTTTAAATTGTCATAAAGTAGAACAGCTTAAGATCAGACCAGAAACTCAGTCCAAATGTTTTATCTACCTATCTATCAATTTATCAATTATTTAGTCTATTTAATTACAGATCTGATAGTTTAGGATTCTCCTGTCAAGCACAGTGTTTGTGTTCTGCCTCCTCAACTGTAAACAGTTCTTCCTTCAGGTCTCTCCTATGGTCTAGCTATCCTCCAGCAGTCGTGTTGCCCCAAATCAGCCTCAAGTCCTATGCCTCCTGTCCCCGGTGGTCCTTCCTAATTTTTGCCCCTAAGTAATTGCAGTGGCTCCCCGGTTAAGGCTTAGTCTAGTGTCCCAGCCTGGATGAGTGGCTTCAGGAGTGTCAGGTCCTAGCAGGGTCTTACCTTAGGGGTGTGTCTGCGGCTCGGAGAGAACGACCCAACCAGTGCTGCTGCTGAACCAGCTACAGTCCTTACTGCTGCCTGTCCACCTTTTATACCGAACGTCCACCATTCACAAACCTCAGCACTGGCCCCCATCCCGGCCCTCTGCCATATTAGGATACTGACAGGCCGAGGCTAGGGAGTGGGTGGAGGTGGGGTGCCGACGTGAAGGCAAGGAGGGCACTCCATCAATCGGATTTCAGGAGGGGATCACAAGTGACGCTGCGCGCCCCCGACGTGGAGAGAGCGCGCGCCATATATGGAACTGTCGCTCTGACCTCCCATCAAGGCTCGCGGTCCCACCTCGAGGGCCGTATAAGGACCATGCGGACCACTGGGGAGTGTTTCTAGGGGAGACGCCAATTGCTACCAAGCAGGGTTATAGATTTGTTGCTAGTAGGCCTCATCCAGCCTTAAAATGGGAATATGCTTCCCTCATCTGAACGGATTTAGGCCACGGTGAGGGCCAGGGCTTGAAGCAGTGACTGACAGGTCAACCAGGAAGAGAGCTGTACAGGGCCAATTAATAACTCAATTAATACAGGTTTATTAAAGGTCAACGGACAAAAGCTGAAGTTGGAAATTCTGTATATAACAGCTAAATATGTACTGCATTATTTCAGCCATCATATGTCAGAATTAACGCTTTATTTCTAATTAATCACATTAATTAGAGTAGAATTAACTTACAGTGTTGCTATAAAAGTGTACTTTTTATTCATTGATTGCTAGTTTAAATATACTCTTTAAAAAACACTAAATACTAAACATATTGATCAATGTACAGAGAACCAATCAGAATTAGGAGATTGCAAACGTAACCCCCCCCCCCCTTCTCAGTTATAACTGCATCCACAAATGTATTAAGATGCATTAAATCGTGTATCAAGACGTGCAATGAATTAAACTCAAAATCGGATCCTGCAGCCCACGTGGCTTCAAATT